CCAAATCTGGCACCAGGCACCTTCTGGCTCTTCTCCAAAGTCTAAATGACTAGGAGAATTAAATGTTTTCTGTTGATTTAGGTCGTCGCTTACACCTAAAGAAACTAAAGAGCACTTCCAGAGCTGCTTCAGAAAACTGCCAGAGCCGTGGGATAAGTGCATTTGAAGAGAGGGGGCATTTTTTAGAGGAAATAATGTCAACGTGCCTTTTATTGTAATTTTTTTAAATTTAGGTATTCACTGTAGTTTTTATTGCACCTGATATGAGTAATGAGGAGAACCACAATTTAAGTGAGAACAGATTGGACCCAGAGTTTAACCTTAGGAAGTAATGTCCTTTGCATACAAAAAATTTCTTCAGATTTTTTTTAAAACTTAAAACATGTATTTAATGAAATAGCATAGTCTAATTCCATTTTCATAAATTCTATTATTCCTCCATTATGTCTGGACTAAGAGTTACCAAATATTAACTCTCAAAATTTTTGAACTTTTGGTTAGATTTTTAACTTATTTATTGTGCTTTTATACTACTCAGCCACAAAGAGATTTTTATAGGTAAATGGATACAACTCAAGACCGTATTCATAAGTGAAATGAATCAGACCCACATGTGTAAACATCACACTGTCTCCCTAGTGTGAGAACCAGCCCGAATGAGTAAATAAGGACCAAAGTGTACAGGAGAGATTGTGAACTGGGAATAAACTGTTCAGAAGAAAAGAACAGGGACAGGGAGAAGGAAGCAAGGGGAGAGGAAAACAGTATATGTATCCACAAATAGTTCAAACAGCTGTCCAGCTCATTCCTCTTAGTTCACTGAAAAAGAAAGGTCTGTGCTAATATCGTTAAGACAAGATATCATGCCTGTATCTTGCACTCTTGAATAACTACTACAAAAACAACAATATTCAATGTATTAATTAGTAACTCTCCTACTAACCTGCTTTGAAATTGTTTTATTGGTTTTTTATTCCCTTTAAAATGAAAAAAACAAAGTGCAGGCTGTCAGTGGGGCTTTCAGATGAGATGAGGCAGGTTGAAGCAGCCCCTCTCCCTCTCTCTGTCTCCTTCCCCCTCTCCTTCCTCTATCCCTCCTTCTCCTCTCCGTCTCCCTCTTCCTCTCCTTCTCACTGTTGAATCAGGTGATTGGCTTTATCAGCTGAAGCCATCTAATCATGTCACCAAAGTACACAGGTAAAAACCTGAACTGCTTTAGCCCAAAGGCGAGGTGGCAGCTCTGTAAACACCGATTCCTACCAGCAGTCTTCCTTATGCTTCAGAGCACTGCCTGCAAAACCAGGCGCTGCCTTTCACTGCCAGTTAAATTGAGCAGTGTCTAAAAAAGCCGGTGCAGGACCAGCTTTTCTATAGGAAGGTATTATTGCAAGCAGAGACATCACGGAACATGTAGGAATTTGAATCAAAGACAGAAAAGAACAAATAAAATCTACTGAACAAACTCTTGCTTCTCTGGAATGTCATTTCAGATTGAATAGAAAACTGTGGAAAATGGACAATGCCGTGCTTAAGAGTTAGGATTGCAAACATTGGAAAGAAATTAAATTACCTAATCTGTCCTTTTTTAGGTCACTCTGGACAGTGTCCTTCCCCCAGTGCTTTAGCAGGCTTTTAAAATTTGTCTTAAGCAAAGAACTTTCCCTCTTGTCTAGCAGGAACATTTCACAATCTAATTTATTTTCAGTTCAGAATATTTAATACTAGCCATTCACTGTCAACTCAGCCTGTTACAATTTCCTCAATCCTTATAACCCTACAACTGTTACCAAAATCTTTCCTTTCAAATCATTCCTTCCAGATTTCCCTTGCTTTCATTTTCAACTAGCAAAATATATGCCCTGGTCTATATATCATAGTCTACATTTGCATATGCTTATGGCCTTAGCCTATTTTCCGTCACCATAATACGCTGAGAAAAGAGGTTCACTGGGGTTCATAGTTCTAGAGGAAATCTTAGAGCATGACACCATAGCAGTTTCATCTGCTTCCATTCATAGTGGAAAGCAGGTGGGCAAGTGGGCGTATGTGGAAAGGATAGGACCGGGGTGGGGGGCAGCCCTGCTGTGTAACAACCCACTCTCATGGCAACTGATCTAGTCCCATGGGCCCAGGAACTCACTCCTCTGAGAAAGGTGCTGATCTGTTCTCAGGGCTCCATCTCATGAACTGAGCACCTCCCACCAGGCTCTACTTCCCGGCACCTCTGTAATAACAAATTCCATTTTGAGTTTTGGAGAGGCCAATCATGACACGAGCTATTTAAGTATCCATGTGTGTAAACACATATGCGTACCTGTGTGTATGCATCAAAAAATTTACATAACTTTGGTTGCCAGTTTCATGGATCAGGTTGAAAATTCATAGTACAAAAGTTGGTAATTCCATACTATCTTATTTGCAGCCTATTAAACTGCAGAGTAATAAAGCAAAAAACCTGCTGGTTAAATTTGATCCTTCCTTCAGAGATGATTTGAACAACTGGGTGGCAGAAGAAATCCTAGAGATTAAGTATGTGGAGCACCCTCAAGTGGACATCCTGGACCTGCGTGGGGAAGTATATTACCCCAACCTCAGCTTTGAGACGATGGAGGTGGATTTTGGCTGCATCTTGAATGATACCGAAGTTGTCCGCTATGTTATGATCACCAACACCAGCCCCCTGCTGGTGAAGTTCCGCTGGTTCTTCCTTATGGACCACGAGGAAGTTCAGAGCAGGTACAGAAACCCCACAGATCTCTGCTGTTCATTCATTTTCCCTTTCAGGCTTTGCACTGTGTTTCTTGTGTTTTCATATGGCCTTTCATTCACATTCTTATTTCTGACCAAATACCAACAGAAATGACAAGGAGCCTGAAATCATGGTCCATCCTAGATTCCCAAGCTGAAAAAGTAGATCAGTCTTTGAAAGCCCTGGTCACCACCAGATTCACAAAGCCATATCCACAAGCCTGCTTTCATTCTGAATCTTGCAATTGTATGATCACTAGAAATTATTTACCAAAAGTCTTTGCAGTTTTTAACTTATTATTTTATTGTGATAAGAATACTTAATATAACCAGGCATGGTGGTGCACACCTGTAATCCCAGCACTCAGGAGTTTGAGCCAGGAGGATCTCTGTAAGTTCAAGGCCAGCCTGGGGGCTACAGAAGTGAGCACAAGGCCAGCCTGAACTGCATAATGAGACTCTGTCTCAAAAAAAAAGTATTTAACATAAGAGCTACCCTCCTAACAAACTTTAAGTGTATAACACAGTATTCATTATAGGTACAGTGTCATACAGTATATCTATAGACCCTATCTTGCTTAACTGAAACTTTATGCCTGTTGATATCCATTCTCCTTCACCCCTAGCACCTGTAACCATCATTATACCCTTTGATTTACAAATTTGACTATTTTAGCATTTTAAATATTTTGTATTTTAGGCAACTCATATAAGTGGAACCATACAGTATCTGCCTTTCTGTAACCACCTTATTTCTCTGGGCATAGCATTCTTATGTTTTACCCATGTTGTCATAAATTGCAGAATTTCCTTCTGTGGAAGGCAGAACAATATTCTGTCCTATTGTGTCTAAAGGCCACATTTTATTTATCCATCCACTTGTAGATGAAAAAAATTAGGTGGTTTCACGATCTTGGCTGTTGTGAATATTGTGGCAGTGAGCGTGGCAGTGCTAATGTCCTTTGAGATTGAGTTCCATTCTTCCAGATAAACACCCAGAAGTGGAATTTCAGGGTCTTTTGATAGTTCTATTTTCAGTTTCTGAGGAACCTCTCCACTGTTTTCCATCGTGGCTGCACCATTTCACTTTCCTAGCAGTGCTTTTCCCACACCCTCATCAACACTGGCTGTCTTAGTTGTTCTAATAGCCATTCTCACAGGTGTGAGGTGATACCTCATTGAGGTTTGGATTTGCATTCACCTGATCATATGGACAGTGAGTATCTTTAGTATACTTGGTAGCTATTTGTATGTCTTCTTTGGAGAAATGCCTAGAAGTCTTTAACCCGTTTCTACTTGGGTAACTGGCACCTGGTTTGGGGGCAGCTGCTACTGAGTTGCAGGAGTTCCTTGTGTATGTTGGAGATAAGTGGTCTGCAATTTTTCCCCCATCCTATAAGTCACATTTTCATTCTGTCCATCATTTTCTTTGCTATGCAAAATCTTTTTAGTTTAATGTAAGCCTACTTCTTTAGTTGTATTTTTGTTGCCTGTAAAGTGTTCTTAGTAAACATTTCAAACCCAGAGCATGGATTGAGGAGGACTATGCATTGAGCATGTGACATATCTTGTGTATTTCTGCTCTGGTCTATATGTGTTATTTATAGGCATACACAGAGCTATGAAACAGTGGCAGGTAGTGAATGCACAGTTTTTCTCAATTGGCAACCAGGACTGGTAAGACTCTGTGTATTTCCTTAGTGGATGTTTTGACAGCTCAGTTTTTAACATGGGCATGTTGGACGGCCATTCTTAACTGAGGAGACCTCAGATTGTTACTTTAGTGGCTTGTCAGTGCTTCCTGTACAGAATCTTCATCTTGTGTGTGACAGCCACCCTCTTCTTTCTTGCGCTTGTTACCATGGTAACTGTCATCCATAGACATCTGATGATGACCCAGCATAGCATTGAAACTGGCAGCCAGTGCTGGGCCTGAGCAGTGGATCCTGCTCATTAAGTACCATGGACTGTAGGGGTTCGCAGCAAAATTCTAGAGATGGTGAACATTTACAATAATTATAGAAAAAAAATTGGCCAAGCTGACCTAATGCTCTTTGAATACCAGTTTTTGTGAAATTATTCTGATGTAACATAGCTATAAATGAGTTTATTCCATCTGGGAGCAACGACCTCATTTTTTATTTTTGAGAGGACATTTCCATAATTAAAATAATGACATTTTAAAAATGTACTTGGCCAATGTGAAGATAAGGCACTTGATCTTTTATTGATTTAAGCATTTATTTGATCATTTTTCTTTTCTTCAATATCTTTCTATCATTTGATATTGAACCTCTGCTTCTAAGTTACTTGTTCCTTGATTCATTCCATCAAAGTCACTGAGAAAATATTTGATAAGTTGCTCTTGTGGACCAGGTATGATGCAAGCATTCTAAGTAGTGAGAACAGTAAATTACATGTTACTTTGAATTCATGGGTCTGTTTCCTTGCAAGTTACAGGAAAACTGAACCTATGCAAAAGTTAAAAAGGAAAGAAAAGTCTTCAGTTCCCACAACTCAAAAGCCCAGATTCCTTGTGACCTCTGGCCTAACTCAAAGCAAATTCAAACAGTAGTGTCATCAAAACCAGCACCTCTGTCTTTTGGCTCTGTTTGCCTTTGTGTGTCAACATCATTCTCGAACCAGCTTTTTTCTAGTCACCAAATAGCAGCCAGCTCTCCCAGGGCCATGTCCTTGCAGGTCTTAAAACACTGAGATAAAATGAGCTCTGCACCCCAAAATTTCCAAGAGATGCATTCTTCTCAGGTCAACTTACATTTCCTATCTGTACCCCTAATCAGGAAGGGACACTCAAGCCACTGTTGGCCTGGCCTCATACTCACAGATGGTGACCTCTGGACCACTAAGACTGAAGGGGGCAGGAGTGGGATAGATCTCCGAGCAAAATCTGACATAGGAGAGAAAGGATGCTGAGAGCAAGCAACATAAATACACCCCAGTGTTAGCAGAGAGTACGTAGCAGCTGTGTGTGAGAGCCCTCATATCCTATATGGAATTTAGGCTCTTTTTTGCAGGCAGTGGTGAGACTTGTAATCAAGAGAATGACAGAGTCAGGGTTCTTCCAAAAGACAACTCTTAGCCGCATTCTCTTGACCATCGCATTCCCTTCTTGAACTGCAGAGCGTCACATTCTCCTGCTTTTTCTACTTTTCCTGAACTATCCTCTCAGCTCTCTGCCAGGAAGAATGGGCCTCACTCCAGTACTTCAGGATTCACCCCAGGCCTTCTTCTCTCCCTAACAACTGACTCCCCATAGTTTAGTCACCCTCTGTGGCTGAGCCCACCAAACATACACTTCAACCTAAACCCCACTCTGAGAGTTCGAATCCATTGAGTTCTGACACCTTCTCTTAGGTGTCTTCTGACTTGTGTCTAACTGGCTCCAGACACACTCTAGTTATCCCCGTGCTTCTTCCTGTCTATCCCTGCCGCTCCTCCAGGACACCATAGCTCAGCAGTAACATCACTATTTTCCTGCGAGGTGTCAGAGTCCTTTCTTTCCTCACCCCACTCAATCCTTTGAGCCTGTCACCCAGGTCTACCTATTATGCCCTTTAAAAACCTTATTCCCATTTCTATTGCTCTTACCTTGTTTCAAGCCACCATCATTTTTACCTGGATGATTATGACAGCCCTAATGGCACTCTGCTTCCACACATGCACCACAATCCCTTCCCCACTGAGAAGCCAAGTGATGAGCATGTGGGTACCACTGAATTAGTTCCCATGCTTCTCAAAATCAGTCCAGAGTACCACAGTATTCTATAAGCATTTGCTGATGTCTGAGTTCCTCTCTAGTTTCTTACTGTTGGCTGTCCCCACCATACACAACAGTGGCCTTCTTTCTGCTTCTTTAACATTCTTCTCCCTATGCTCCCTTGCCCAACTTTTCCATCTTTTCCAAAAGCTCTTCCCCACTCTTACCAGCTCCCTCCTTCTCCCCCCAAAATCTCAGCTTCAACATCCTTCCAAGAGGCCTTCTCTGAAGTCTTGCTCAAGCCAGTGTCTGGCTGTGGGCATTGGTAGCCCTGCAACGTACATCACACCTGTACTTATGGCTGATTGTCCATCTTCCAAGCAGGCTTTAACTCCTATGAGGCTTGTGAGCAGTCTTCCCCATCACCTCTGAAGACCCCAGGCCTAATACTATCTGTAACATAAACAAGATCCTCAAAGGGTATTTTTTAGTCCATCAAATGCTCCCTCTTGAGTATTTATAGAGAGATGGAGATGGTTTCATAATTGGTTGAGGATTCTTTACTGTTAGCTCCCAGGCACCTGCCAAATAGAAAGATTCAGGCATAAATGTCACCTAGACTAGAACAAAAAGAAAAAAATAAATGCCACCAGACACACTTTCTGTGCAGACCATCAGAAAAACATGAAAAACACTGACTAAAGGTCAGTTTTATCTGATATATCAACCTTTACTAACCTTTCTTTTTCAACCAAAATTCTTAAGTCTTATGGTTGGTGAAAGAAACAAAAGTATAAGAAAGAGTTTTATTTTTCTTTTATTAGGCAGGTGTGAGGATATATAGACATCCTCGTGACTTTCGTCACAATACCCATTCACCTGCCAGGGGTGTGTGCATGCATGTGTGGTTGTACATGTGCACATCTGTACACATGTACGCAGGTATGGGTCCATAATTTTGTGTTTTCTCTTGTTTGATAGTGTGTTTTCTCCAAGCTGACACTTATATCACATATAAAAATAAAGAAGGAAGCAAAGTGGTCAGCATGCTAAATAAGCGCTCACAGGGGAAAAGCCAGCTTTTGCCTAGTGGTGTCCCATCCACTTGGTTCACACCCACAGCAGGATTCTCCACTGGCAGTAGTGGACGCTGGTCTTTTCTCCTCAACACGTCCATGGAATGAGGACACTAGTATCAAGCATAGGGGCTGAGCATGGCTCCTGGGGTAGCTGTCACAGCGGAGACTGCGCCTCGATAGGGTCTGTCGCT